TCAACCAGTAAAGAAAAATTAGCTAATTGTTGCTGCATTAACAAATAAAGGCAACATTAGCCTAATTAGCCATTTAGAATTAATAAAATCTTTTTCAGTTGTCATAGCCGACATAATTGACATTATTACTAGAAACTGTATGAGCTCTGTAACAGTTACAGGTGATGACCTGGGTGCTGCAGAGCTGTTTGTTTTGTTATACAACACGTAACTTTTTTGAGTCCACCCAACGAATTCCAGTCAACTTGTATCAGTAAGAATACATTTTTGTGTTATCACTGAAGCACTCTGAAACACTGAAAGACTCTATTGCCCATGTTGTAATGATGAAGATATTTTAGCTTTTTTCCATGAGGAGGATGTCTCCATTGTGTTTTATTGCTTATGGCTTAAGCAGAAACTGAATGCAAATCCCATAAAGTTAACTTGAGTACTTGAAGACGCAGTGTTATATTGTCCCACTTTCTACATTGTTTCCAGGGAGATAAAGAGGTTGAACTTGGGCTCCCGTTTTCTCCTCTCTGTGACCGTAAAGCTACGATGATTGCCCAGTCTCAGATAGGTAAGAGTCACAATGAGAAAGGACTTCATAAACTTGTGCTGGATTTGCAAACAGCTGTTGAAACTTTATTCTCATGTTTACTATCTGGTAGTGATTTATCATAAGAAAAAGAACCAGTATTAAGTTATTATTAGTAATGATGCTGTTACATCTCGTCGAGGGCAGGAGAGGATGACACAATGACTCTGGAAACCTGGTACAGGTGTTATAAAAAAAGTTTAATGGCAGCGCTCTCACAAAATAAGTAACCCAAATTCAAACAACAAACGTGGGGGAGAAAGGGACAGTTAGGTTGTGCCAAAAAACCCACCAAAAAGACAAAACCAAAACTTAGCTGAGCTATTATCCTAGAAAAACAAAAACAGGGGGGAAAGACCCTAAACCTCAACTCAAAACAAGCTCAAAATTACATGGGTGGCATCAACCTACTTACCTAGTGTTTCTAACAAAAAGACATCAGCCTGCAGTCTAAGGGAGTGGCAAACAAAAGGAGAGGGAAAGAAAACATGCAGCCTGCAGACATGTAACAGATGCGCTTGTTATATATTTTGCTCTCTCTTCTTCCATTATCCTAACATTTCTCTTGGGATTCAGGTTTCATAGACTTCATTGTGGAGCCAACCTTCAGTGTACTGATTGACACGACAGAGAAAGTGATTGGTCCTCTAATAGAAGAGGACAGGAAGGCCAGAGAGACTGGAAACAGGAGATCCAGGTACTGCTGCTATTACTGCTGTAAGTTCAGTGACTTATTCAACATGTGTATTAGACACAAGGTTTTTAACATGAACGATGCCTCAGTGAATAACCACAACAAAAGAAAAGCAACAGACTTGATAACAGCTGAAACTCTTAATCCACATCAGAACAAGTCTTTGGAAGTCCAGACCTCAGCCCAATTGAAATCTGTGGTGGCACTGTGCATAAACAGATGCCCACAAACCTCAGTCAACTAAAGCAATGTTATAAAGTATAGTGGACTCAAATACATTAACAGCAATGTGAGAAACTGATAAAGTCATACAGATAATTATTACTGTAAGTTACTGCTGCAGAAGCTGGTTGTACAAACTTGTAATTGTTTTTACAACACTGCATAAAGTCATTTTTATTCATACTTGATGATTTTGGATGAAAAATCATTGAAAATAGGCTGGTCTTAGACCAGAAACTGTGAAACCCAGTCTAATCACTCAATTGTACAACTACTTATTCTTTTCTTAAAGAAAAACAAAGATTTATTTGGGGTTTTTTTTGTTTTGTCTTTATTATACAATCTTTATTAGTACAGAGAACTGACAGGAAACTATGGAGAGAGTTGCATGCAGGACATGGATGCACACCTGTACATAGCACGATGTACAGATACATGACACAAATAGTAATTGGTGTTCTTCAAGACCACATAGTGGGCAAAGAGGGTAAAATATAACTTGTTGGTACAAGAACCAGTAACAGTCCCAACCTTAAATCAGCTAAATGTCCACAGGAAATGCCTCGACTACAGCATATGTTGATCGGTGTGTGAGGGCAGGTCATCACTGCACAAAATCAAGTAACATTGTTTTTCTCATAGAAATATAAAGTTTTTGGCCATGTAGAAAAAAATTATTGCTCATTCACCAGGTTTTATTCAATCAATGCAATATGGAATTTTCCTTAATACATTAATACATCCAAGGTGGAAAAGGCAGTCCCTCTCATCGCTTTACACCTCTCTCTCTGTTTCAGTCTAACAGGAAGCGGTTCAGTTACCGTGGAGTCAGTGCAGAGACACAGTAGTGTTCGCCATGGGAACAGTGATGATGGACAGATGGACTTTTCCCTGACAGCCATTGATCTGCTGGCACTGAAGCTGCACCTCTCTGGTGTCATTACCAGCAACAAGGACAGATGGAAAGAACTATCTGTGCACGGTACACATACAGTCACAAACAAATATTCAAGAAACTCAGAATCATTCGAGGTAAAGTTTCTACAACCAAATTTAGAAAAAAATTGTTTTATTTGGAGTGTTATTATTTTGTTTTGCGCTTTTGGACATGATAAGACAAAGCACCCAACAATCTATAAGTGATTTCTCAAAAAACGAGATGTTTTTCAGTGTAACAAATGTCAATTGTTCAATTCTCCCAATTCTTTTGATCTTTGGGCTGAAGGAAAGACAATACTCGGTGTATAAATGCTCAATCAACAATCTTTTATTCCATACAATTCTTATACCTCAGCAGTATAATGCATCATAAAACAATATCATTCATTCACAATAAATCAGCAGTCTAATGTAATACAAATCAGTTTAATAACTGTAATGGTGGCTGTAGCTCAGGTGGCAGAGCAGGTCAGCCACTAATCAGAAGGTCGGTGGTTCGATCCCAGGCTGCATCCTGGCTGCATGCCAAATATCCTTGGGCAAGATACTAACCCCATGTTTGCCTACTGGTGGTGGTCAGAGGGCCCGGTGGCGCCTGTGTCCGGCAGCCTCGCCTCTGTCAGTGCGCCCCAGGGCAGCTGTGGCTACAATGTAGCTGCCATCACCAGTGTGTGAATGACTGAATGTAGTGTGAAGCGCTTTGGGGTCCTATGGACTAGAAAAGCGCTATACAAATGCAGGCCATTTACCATAATAATTATCACCTTCTTCTAAGTCAGGAGAATAAGGCAAACTAAAACTACATAATGATTTCACAATCTTTAATTAGGGGTCTAACGTGGCAGATAATATAATAATCTCACACTCTTTGGAGAAAATGTTTGTCTGCATTTTTATAAAACATGCTCTTGAGAAAATTGTACCCTTATTTTAATATAAGCTACCATCTTTGTGCTTTTAGCCTTGTTGTGCTTGTTTCACACACTCAGCTGTGGACTGCTGTAATTTGTAAGACAAAAAAATGTAATAACGGTGCTGCCGATAAATATCCCAACAAAATCGATATTTTTCCACTGCGAAGTCATTTTTTCCTTGTTGACATGATCACAATACAGTGAGAGGTTAAATTGTTGAACTGAGATTTGTCCACCTTTTTCTAAAGTTTTGTGCAAGTGCCACCTGTTTACCTTTGGGTAGTCAACATTTGAGTTAGGTGTGATTTTTGGCTTAGCACCACATATCATATCTAATATACTGGGAATGTAATATAGTGGGAAAGTGTCTCATCTTCTGAGATAGATTCTGATATTGGAAACATTTGCCAGTCAGGTTGTTGTGGTGATGTATCTACACACAAGCTTTGCCATTAATGTAAATATCCACCAAATATCAGATGCAAAAAACACTGAACTGAGTGTAAACTTCTCCAACACTAGTCCTAGAAACAGCTAAGAGTCTCAAACCATCAAGGGCCCAGGCTTGAAGAAGATCCCCAGATTTGATGGAAAAATCTTTTTTGCCAGTTGAAAATGTATGTATTTTCCTGTGTTTGCCTATTGTGAACAGAGCTAGCCAGCAAGGCGCAAGAAGAAAAAGAAAGTGTGGACCTCCAATCACATGCCTCAACCAGCCATCGTACTCCTGATGGACCCGCTGCCGATCAGCCACAGAACTCTGACTGCTCACCTCCTGGTGAATCTCATGACAAGTCACCAGACCAAATGTTGAATGGTATGAACTTGACAACAAACGTAACAACTTCCTGACATTTAACCCTCAAACTCACCTTTAGCTGTGGTAACCTTTACAGGGGAGGCCCCAGAGGAGGAGAAAGAAGATGATGAAGTGCCTGAAAACGCCTGACTGCCCTCTGCCAAACGTACCACTGTATTTGACTGTGGCAGACGACCCTGGCAACAGGGCGTTGCCGTGCAGAGTTCACACTCTCTGTTTAAACACAGCAGCTGACTAAGTGGTCCTTCAGTGACTGAAAAGGGCCACTAGACCTTTGTTTTTTTGGGGATTTTTTTTACAACTGACCATGAAAATATCACATTCAGAGTGAAAAGATTCATTAGATAACAGCTTCTTAGCAGCTTCATGGCCCATTAACAGTGGTGAAAATGTGTTGTGATTTTATTAGAGATTCAGAGGAATGCTGTCTGTGAAATAGATGTCATAATTTAAATAAAAACAGAGGCAGGCAGGTCAAAACCAAAGAGTGTGGAGCAGCTTAAAAACCCTATTCAGGGAGTTGGGAGACTGAATGTCTGTTAGGAATAATAATTAACTGAGCTGTTAAGAAGCAGTTGTCGAGGTTTTGTTAATGCAGCTGAGCACAACAACAGGTGTGATGTTTTAAACTTATAATATGAGCGTGAAAAGTGATTGCTGCTCTGTTCTTTGTTCCTACTCCTTTTTATCTCACACTTCTACCCATGATGTCAAACAAAAACATGTTGGATGATGTTGCAGCAGTTGTTTATCGTACCGCCTAAGTAGCAAGCTAAATGGGGCCAATTGCATATTGGCATAATTGACTATGCTGAGATTATTAATACCATACAGAATTATTTCTTCTGGCATGCACGACTTAGGCTATTTTTTGGGGCTAAACCATACCTGGCCATTACGAACGCTTTTGGGGCAAAAATGTTAGCAGTTATTCAGCAAACTGGAACCTCTAACTTTTGGTCTTGCACTAGCATCGGCCGAGAAACTTTCCAAAATGTGTGCCAGGTGGTTAATGCCCAGTACCCCTCTGCAAGTTGTGCTTAGTGCTAATTAGCAAATGTTAGAGAGCGAAACTAAGATAAACCATAAATGCCACAAACAAAACTTATGTATATTACCACTATCACTGACAGCATATTAGCATTCTGATAGCATAGCTGATGGCTATTAGAGAAGCTGTAGACTACCAGGTGTGTAAAATATCCCAGCACTTTGTACAGAAGACATTACAAATGTTACATTGTAGAAAGTGATGTACAAGTTATGAAATTTTTCAGTTTATTTGCAAAGGAAAAATCCATGGACCTACTTGCATTGGTCAATTTACAGTGCTAACAAGTTAGCAATATATACCAAATGGAGGTCTCCTGTATGCAGTCTTTTAACGTAACATAAAAGGAGGCATCTACAGACCTGGATATAGTGAATATTTGCAGTCCTGGTTACACTGTAATATTTGTCCTAAATACTAACATGCGACAGAGACAGCAAGTGTTGTCAGTCACGATGCTTTTTAAATGCACAGTATAAAAATGTAATCTCAAATGTCAGTTATTTATGTTTTGTCAAGCTCAGTTTGGTTATAGAAATCGTACCACAAGCTTAATTAGCTTAGTATTAAATGTAGCTAAGCAAAAAACCATATAGCCATTGTGTAGAAGGACAGAGTGTGGATGTTATTCACAGCTTGTTTACACCATCAGTGATGTATTTGATTCAAGAGCATTTTATTGAAACCGAATCACTCAATTCATTTTCTTATCAAATCTCAATTACAACGTGATGAATATTATGATATAATATTCATTAACCCCGCCCTGACTTTTTCTGCTGCTGTCTAACATGCCTCCTCAAAGTAATACAAATTAAATTAAACTTTGCATTATATGCATAACTAATGTTTGCGTGCACAATGTAGTGAACATTACCTGCAGGTGACCTAGTTGCTGCTCTGCTGCAGTTCACAGATCTCACAGATCACAGAATATGGTTTGACAGCTGTCATGAGCTGCTGCTCAACACCCGAATAATCTAAAATATCACATGTTCTTGCTTTCACATTTGACAGTATACATTTCAACAAATTCTAGTTTAACATTAAACAATATGCTATTAATACACTACATGGAAACAGCATGTAATTTATTATTTCTTTTCCACTTTTGACATGAGGCTGATATTGAATTTGCTTATTTAATTAGTATCTTTTTAAATGTTTACTGGTTAGGTAGAAGGTGAAGGGGGGAGCTGTACATAAGAAAGCTAATAGAAAGGATTAGCTCCAAGGCAAGAGGCTTGGTAACTAAAGATTAACAAAGATTTAATGAGGGATTTGCTGGCTGCTGAGCCTAACCAAGTACTTTGCAATCTCCAAAAAAGACATCAGAGCTCATCTGTAGGATCAAATCAGAGTCAGTTCTGTGTTACAACTGATTGTAATAAACGGTTGATCCCAAATCTGTATCTGAGCCCTGACTGAAGAGTCTGTTTCACTTGAAAAATGTTACATACGGGAGCTAAAAAGCTATGACTGCCATTCAGCTGGCTTTACCTTTTCCATGGCTAATAGCAGTAAAAATCCAAACATAACACAGTGGCAGTTTGAACGCACAGAGAGCAGAGCAGCAGCAGTGAATCGGTGTGAATTTCTTTACATGTTTACATGTGACCTTTTTAAAAAAAAACAAAACATGGGCCATCTTATCGTATTCTGGGCCAATATACCCATAGGATAGCATTACACTGTACTCTCCATCGTTGTAGAGATTGTGGAGATGATGGAAAATGATAATGAACACTGAGTCCAAGGAAGTGTGATCATGAGTAAATAAATAAGATTTACCTTTAAATCGACAGGAGCCCAGAGTTCAGGCAGCTCTTGTTGTTCCTGTGCTGGGCCCCTGTTGCTCCACCTGGCTGTGAATAAAGAAAAGTGCCATAGAATCAACATGGTGACAAGAGAAACACCAGTTTCTATAGCAATGGACAATGAGTCAAAGGCAGGAGCCAAAATGGCCGAAAGTCAAAGCTCTTTAGATTCTGTGAGCACTGTGTTTGTTAATGCAATGTGTGCTATAGTTATTGTGTGCTCTTTGACTCTGTGTGTGGATGAGATTTTGAGTGTGAGTTTGTGTGAGAGAAAGTGTGAGAGTGTGCACTGTATACTGTACAGCTGTTTTCTGTATTATTGTATTAAACATTCACAAATCTGGCTCTGTCTTTGATTTTATTCAGTCTTGTTGTTTACATTTGGTGGTCAACAGACCTGTATCTGAACTTCTGGGATCTGCTTTCACTATATGGACATTCTACAGGAATGCCATTTCTGTCCAGTGCATGCATATTAAGTGACTTCAAAGACAAAAACAAAACATAATACTAAAGTAAAAAAAGATTTTAAACGAAAGATCCACTAAATCAACCTATTATACTTTCCCTTATTTTCTACTGTGCTCTACTGTCTCATTTCTTAGTCTTTTGTCAAACTTAAATGTTAAAACCAAATTTTAACATTAGACAAAGATAACATGCGTAAATAGAAAGTTAAAAAGTAAAAAAAAACAAAAAAACATCTGGTGTAAAACTACAATTTCACCATCATACAAGAGTCTAACATGATGTGGTAGTGTGATGGTCTGTGGTTGGTTTGCTGCTCCAGGACCTGGACAACTAGCTAAAAGAAAAACCTTATGGAGACCATCCAGCCACCAGTTTGTGTCCTGAATTTCAGGTACAGTTGGATGTTATTGCAGGACAATAATGTGAAACACAGCAGTGAGTCCACTGGTTAAAAAATGGGTCAAAAAATAAAGTAAAATGAGGGTTTTTGGAGTGGCCTAGCCAAAGTGTGGCCTTTGCCATGCCCTTAAACAGGCCGTCCCCCTGTATCGAGATGCCAGAGAGGTGACATTCCACGATCCAGGACCTAATTTCAGTAAATGAGGACTGGACCATCAGACCACTGGTTGCTGTCTGAGTCACGTTGCACCTAACCCCTACAGCATCTTCTGTGGGTGTGGAACCACAGGATGGCTGTACCTGGCTTGGCCCAATAGGGTAAGACCTGGCCAACAAGTGTTCTCCTTTGAGGTGAGGGGCCTCTTCAGGGGAGTGGCTGCGGTAACCCTTTTCAGGGTATAGGTTAATCATGTACCATAGTGTATTCTTCATAGAGCTACTGGGATTTGCTCTCATCCAGGGCAGCATAGCTCCCGGGACAACAACAGTGCCCCTGTACTAAGACTCCATACATAAAAATTAAAACAGATGTACACTATAATGAAATGCATTTATTACCTAATCTTCTTTTGTAAAAAGTGTGCACCTTTGCCTTGAAAACAAAGTTTTGGATCAGTCCAGAAACCTTTTGAGAACTTGAATTTGATAGCATTTATTAGAAAGCAGCACTCATGACCTTACTCAGGTAAATATTGCCAAAAATGTCGCAATGCAATCTTTCAATTTGATGCACTAAATTTGTGCTGCCAGCAGAGAGCACTGTGACTAAACCAACATTTGTGATGTTGTGGGGATCTCATTCTATTGTTGCACAACAAATACCGGCCACCAGAGGGTAGCAGAGAACCACTGTCATTAACAAGCAGTCACACTAACACTTACCGCTCTTTATTCATTGATTAGTGTTGTGTAGAGACACTTAAGGTGTCTTCAATCACATCCAATCAGCTCTCTGACTAACAGCACCACAAGAAGCTACAGAACATGCTATTCTTGCACAAAAAGTGGCACGACTAAACCATAACAATACATTGTGTTTCAAGTTAATGTATGACTAACGGATGCCTTAAAATGTAAGCTAAAAATCTGCAAATTGCACTCTCAACACCACAAAATGTTAGAATTTCTTTTGAACACTTGCAGCTCTTGTTAGTTGGATTGTAGACAGCAATATGGCATCCAACAGGAGACAGATAGAGACAACATGGTAAACATTTCGCAGAAGAGACTGATATTTTTCAGAGCTAAAATAGATTTAGTAATGCCATTCTGCTTTTCATATCACCTAATACAGGGGTGGGGGAACTCCAGGCCACACAGGCTGGTGTCCTGCAGGTTTTAGGTGTGTCCTGGATCCAACACAGCTCAACATGTCTTGAAGTTCTCCAGAGGCCTAGTAATGAACTAATCATTTGATTCAGGTGTGTTGACCCAGGGTGAGATCTACACCGGCCCTTGAGGCCTGGAGTTCCCCACCCCTGACCTGATAAGACTGCTTGCAACTTTTCTTTCTTTTTTTTTTGCAGGTTCACAGAATTTACAGCAGATAGGTGTAAGAACACACGACTGTCATAGTCAAAGATGATTCACATTGAGACTCTGGCATGATCAAAGCTGATAGCTAGCCTATTTATAATAACTGCACCATTAGAGTCTGTTAGTTATTTGGTGGTGTAATAAATGTCGACCTGAATCAGCAGAATTTCCCCAAAAAGCTTCTGTGAATAAGTAAGTTTCACTTTCTGAGTTCAAAGGGTCAATTTAATTGTTTACAACAGCCTTTGAAGTCTGGCCAAGTTCATTCTAATTGGGAGTACAATTCTGAAGGCAGCGGTTGCCAGCAGAGGGGCCTGTGTCAGACCATACTTTTGCCAACTTAATTTAAGCAAGTGGCATAGGGTCTATCAGGGTCTCAGATCGCTTTTTGAAATTCCTAAATCTACTGTATGTTTTGGCAGACTTGCACTGATGCGTTGACTGGTTTTACTGATCCCAGAGTGGAAATTAGGTTACTGCAGCATCCAACATGCAGGGATGTAGTTTGTGACAAAGTCAAAAATAAGAGTGATGAAAAAAGATGCATAATAAAATATACTTGCTATCTAATCTCTGTAGATAGTAATGTACATCTGTGTTATGTGTTGTGTATATGTGTTGAAGCAATAGTGTGTATGTTTGTTTGTTTTTTAACTACTAATTTTGTACAACTGTCTGAAACAGCACAGGGAGTAGCTGAAATTTCAGTGAACCTCATTAACCAAAGTAAGTGTGCTATTTAATAGGACACAGGTTTAAATTGCAGTCACTTTTACCACTGTCTATTTCCCTATATCCAGATCATTGGGTCCAGTTCACTTCACCTCACCTAATGACATAAAGCAGCAGTTCCTCTGCTGAAAGAGTAATCAGTTCCATCACTGCCATGGCAGGAATGAGAAGAGGAAAAAAGCAGAAGATGCAAAAGAAGAAGAAGCTGAAAAAATATCGCTGTTTCTGTGTTCTAGCACGTGTTCTCAATATCACCCTACATTTAGTCGTTTTGTATTTATCCTATTTCACTTCTCTCTCCTCAGCAAACTCAGTATGTTGGTTTGGCTTGATCAAGAATCATTTCAAAATCAGAAACTTCTATTAGAAACATGTAGCAAACTAAACCAATTGAAAACTGATGGGAAATTTAGCTCCACTGATTTTAATTATGGATGAGTTTTAATTCAGTGTGTAGCAAAGGTGAAGCTGAGGAAATGCAAGGACTGACCTCAAGCTTCTCAGGACCTGTGCTAGCCAGGTGTGTGTGATCCTGACAACCTGACTCTGTTTCACATGGCTTCACTTAGCACCAGTTCATATAACAGTTACCTCAAGGTGCCTCAAGGTGCTTTATTTAGTGAAGTGAACAACCATATTAGAGGAAAAACCCCAACAATAACTGGGCAACAGTGGGGAAAAACTTCCTTTATCCCCACTGTTGCCCAGGGCAGCCATCTATAATGACTAGTTGGGAAGGTTTGGGGAAAGAGAAGAGAAAAAACGAGAACATGGGGAGAAACAACAAAACTCAAACTTTAAGAGAGAGGAGACAAAAGTTAATGAATGTTGTAGTGGAGCATAAACACATGGGAGTGAAAACCAGTACCTTCATCACATCACATGTGATGCCATGGCAGGACCACAGGTGAAAATACCAACCTCATCTTTTAAGTGGATGATGTAATCATCTGCATGCTTGGATGTGATGGGCTGGAGGAGAAGTACAGAACACTATTTGGTTATTATTTTTTGAGTAGTCTTGAAGAACTCATGACATGGTGATCAATTTCAGAAAGAAGAGCAAGCCTCTGAGGTCTGTACTTTGGGCCATTGCAGCACCTTGGCTCTCCTCTTTTTCAACTTGTTGCTGTGCTTGGGATCTTTGTTCTGCTACGTGAGCCAGCTTAGGCCAAACTTCAGCTGTCAAACAGCTAAATATTGTATTGAAATAAAGAGGAGTTCATTGTTGACTCAGTAACTGTGAGGTTCCCAGGCCACGAGGCTGCAAAATAAAAAGAACCCAAATTAAACTACTGTGCCTGACAGCTGGTATGAGGTGCTGATGTTGGTTTGGTTTTCTCCACATGCAGTGTTATGGATTATGTCCAAACATCTCCATTTTGGTCTCATTTGTCCAAAGAACATGGTAAATGGTAAATGGAGCGGTTCCTAGCTACTCTTAGCACTTAAAACACTTCATTGTCTCACCCATTCACACTAATTCATACAAGCACTTTTTTCTGAGCTTTTTCTATGTAAGTGTTTTCTATTTACCATTCACAAGCATTTATACTCCAATGATGCATTAAAGAACAACTTGGGGTTAGTATCTTGCTCAGCGATATTTGCCATGCAGACTGGAGCAGATGGGGATTGAGCCATCAACCTTTTGATCACCTGCTCTGCCTCCCGAGCTACAGCCATCCCTCGTTTACCAATATGTGTGTGGAAACATTTTTAGTCTGTGCAAAAAATGAGTTTTCATGAAAAATTACTGTCAGATTTATGACGTATGCACCAGGCAATTTTGTTCTTACCGCAGTGCATACGTTGGCAACTCAGACTCATTTTAAATCAGCAGGCTCATGCTTGCTGCCTGCAGTTCGAATACCACCACCTCCATACATCCATTTCTCTGTATAAGGAAACAAGTTTACCTCCAGGTGAGTGAGAAAAAGGGGTGAAGTTACAAAAATGTGGCGAGTAAAAGAAAGCAAAGTTTTAAACACGTTTACTACTGAAGAAATCGAAACAATCGTCTCTGAGGTGGAAGCAAAAAAAAGTTTTCCATACTTTTCAAAAGTGTTTCTGCAGGTGTGACAATGGTAAAGAAAAATGAAGCTTGGGCTACAATAACAGAGACAGTTACCATTGTATCCTCTGAGACGCAGACTGTGGCTCAAGTTAAAAAGAAATGGTTTAACGTTAAAGCCAATTCAAAAC